AAAATTTTCTTAAAGATGATAGCATACAAAATTCAATTCCGAGATGATAAAGCTTTACTTCAAATAAATTTCAAATGAAACTCCAAGCACTATATTTCTAATTTTATTAAAAATTAATAAAAATCAAATTTTATAATTGGAACTTCACATAAAATTAATATTTTATTTTGTAATGATTAAATTAAAGTGTATATTTCAATAAATTCGGTAAACGTATATTCTATTTCATTTGGTTGAAGTTTATTCTAATTTAATTACAAAAGTTTAATTATTTGACACATAAGAAGTAATTATAGTTTACACGTTTGATGCTTTAATTAAATTAATTCTACACGTTTTAAATTTTACGATAATAATTTTATATTCTCAATTGTTAACTGATAAATCAAAAATGATATTAAGATATCATTTTCCTTTAAAATTTCAATATCAAACCATCACACACTATAAGTTTTGGTTTGTTCATAAAACGGTAAGCTGATTTCTTATCTCCCTCTTTCATTTCACTCTTTAATTGGACTTCATAAATTTCAAAACCCGTGATTTTACATACCACATAAAAAGCTATGACATTATTATTTAAGTTATTATCTTAATTTGAGCATAGTTTGAAGAGACCTTCCTAATTACTTAATATGTCCTCTATATTTGTAGCTACATGATAATAATAATTAAAAGAAAAGTTTGTAGATAAGAAAATATTAAGATCGACATAAATCATGGGTTATGGGGTACCCCCAAGAACCGAGAAGAAGAAGAAGACAAGATAGTTGTTTCAGTTTGATGTGGGTTTAGGTGTGTCGGATAGTAAACAGAGGCATAACCCATAATTGAGTTTTGAGTTGTTATGTCAATACTAATCAGTTTATATATAAAATACATACGTATATATGTATGTGTATGTGTGTATATTATTTACAGCAACGAATTCTCTCTTTATTAGGCTTCGGTTAAGGGATCAAATCTAAGTTGTCAATCAAAGATTCAGAGTAGAGTGTTAAAAATTTTCAAATGGGTGCAAGGAGCTAAAACCCAAGAAACAATCATACAAGTGCTTCCTGACACTACTAGCTCCGTTGCTTGCCGGGATTCTTTCTCATTTCCATGTATAGACAAGCCACACACGCACAAAAAGGAGTTGGCGAGATTGGAATACATAGAGGGTCCCTCATGTAATAATATAACTCTACATAGCATATTCAGGAATTGGAATCAAGAATCTGCTTTTTTCGGTCCTTGTTTTTCGATAATTATAGTTTAAAAGTATTTATTTTTATTATTTACTAATGGTGCAGCAAGTAATTTGATAAGAAGTAGCACGGAATCACTAAAGAATATAATTATATAAGATAAATCTGTATTATTTACTGACCAAATTGGAAGAGCCCGTAAAAGCCATGGCTCTGTCATTCTTATTTTGCTAACTGTTTTAGTTTTGCGAGGTTGGTAGCCTTCCAACCTGGAACTTGGGTACAGGCAAAGACCACCACAAATCTTGGTATCCAACCTGAAGAGACATCATAAAGCGCTAAAGAGAACTATCCAGTTTCTGCGGCAGATACCATTTCCCAGCAACTAAACCTTACAACTTACTAGGCATGTCTGGTAGTAAGAATTTGAAAAGCCTCTATTGTTGATTTTCATGTCTGGTGGTGTATTGAGAAGTACATGTTCAAAACTGCCTAACCTAATCACATGAGTTAGACACTGCCAACAAGTGGTTCGTAAATGAAAGGCTGGAAATTGAAACATTAGAAACGAACCAAGACACACCTGATGATCTGAAACTTCACAAGCCTCGCACAATCTATATGCTTTGATCTGACTAGACTGAATGAAAAAAGATTAGCAGCATAACTGTAAAATACAGAATAATGTTATGTATTTCGTATTCATAAAAACCATGCCCAAGAAAAACCATATGGTACAAAAATTTCCAAGTTTCTCAAATACAACTAACTTGTTATCTAGAAAGAAAGAGAATGATTTATCAGAACATACACAATCAGAGAGAACAGGAGAGAGAGAGAGAGAGATGCCATGACATCACCGATTAGCTTGAATTGAATGTGGCTCACAGTCTTCTGCCAAGGCATTGCTGCTCTTTTATAAGAGAAACAAACATAAATACATTCAACCATGAAAAGGCACACTGAGACAAACCTGCTGAGTAAATCTTGTTTTCTTTTCTCAATTGAACAATTTTCAAAGATGAAACAGCCTAGCTTAACTGGGGAAACCCTTTGCTTGATATCAGACCATCAGGTGCATCAATATCATTGCAATTCCTGAACCCAGTTGGTCTCCAATGAGATGAACAGTAAACACATGTGCTTATGAAGAATCAAACATAATCAAGAAGCCTCAGAAACCACTGCCAGAAGATGTGCCTCCTGATCTAAGAGAGCCTGTGGATCCAGGACTAGTTTTGCTGATGATTCCCTTCCCAAAATACTCAGCAATCACAGAGAATCCATCTTTAGAACTTTTCACTTGCTGGAAAAACCGATCTTGATCTCTGGAATTCTCCAAGTTTCTCTTCTTCTCAAGAACTGATCTGTACTCAGGAGCACACTCAGGGCATTCTTTTTCATTGTCACCAAGGCAACGTTGATGGAAAGAGTGCATACACAAAAAGTGAACAGCAGGGAGATCAAGGGTGAAAGTGCAAGCAGTACACTTGCTCAGCTGAAAAATTCTGGCATTCGTCCTGAGATCCTGAATTTCTTTCTTCATTGCTGATGTTTCTTCCTGCATAATTAAGAGATTCGTTCAATGACATACAAAAGAAATATTTGTTAAATGATACTCCCATTTTTCTCATTGAACAAACAATGCACAATTGATTGAATGCAAGTATTGTCCCTCATCTAGGTGAAATTTCAGGATGCAACTAATTACATTGATTTCGACTTATCAACTGGAGGCTTTTTAACTTAAGAATGACACTTGAGCATACATTGATTTAGGCAGATGTTTCCTTCTGGCTAGAGCGATAAACCTCCCAAAAACATGTCAGTTAATGGTAGACTAATGGTAGACTAAAGGTAGTAAGCTAGCAGCCATGTCAGCTAATGGTAGAATAAAGGTTATCCAGTACTTCCAAATTTATGTTTTCCACTTCTTCCATATGGTTCAACTTCTTAATACCAAACTTACGAAGTAAACTGCGTATAGATCAGATCAATTTCTACCAGTAACTGCCAACAAGGTTTTTAGATAATATATCATCTCAAAACTTTCCATGATCCGCGGTTATTTATGACTTTGGGAATATTTATATCAGTTTCTTAAATTAATATAGAGACCCATTTCAATGTATATAAATGCAATTACAAGCTAACTCCAGCAGAGAAATCGCTCATGAGATGGAATATTGATTGCATCTCAGCTTCAACCAAATAGGAAAGATAACTGCGAGTACAATTGTAACACTAGCTCTCTTATTTCAGCATGCTTTAAAAAAACAGAGTGCATATGAGCACCAACCTGATACTTATCTATCGCCCGTCGGTCCTCTTCGATCAACTTTGACTCCTGTTCAAGTTTCCGAGCAATGTAGTCCTTGATAACAGAGAGCGTGAGACATGGATTCCTGGACAATGTCTGGAGAACAACAATAGGAGGCAAAATGTCCTCCCTCTCGACATAAGTCAAAACTTCTTTCACTTCTTTGGAGCAATCTTCTCCAAGTTCACCAAAGTACTTAAGCAAATCTGCCCAAAGCGATGGATCTCCTCCCTTCCCTGAATCACCTAGCCTTTTGCAGCACGCAATCAGTCCCTCATGATCATGTGCCTGCATATAGCAAGCAATTACCTCTTTATACAGTTTCAACTTCTCATAGAGATATAGAAGCCCATCTCTGAAAGCATTCATTTCACAGAGAATTATAGCAAGATCCACATCATAAAGTGGATGTTCCAGGTCAGATGGCCATGCACTCTTAAGCAAGTGCAGCCCCTTCTGGAGCCTTTCAAGTTGGTCCTTTTCTTTATATGAATCCTTGTTATTAGCAGCTATGCCATTAGATTCTTCTTTTGACATTGCAACTGCTCCTGACCTAGCTTTAAGACCAAGAGCTACACCATTCTGAGCTTGTGAAATTGATGGGAAGTTCAGATCATTGGACAGATACAGCTCCAAGAGTGTGTTGTGAATTTCCACTTGAGCAGGTGAATCTTTCACCTTATTGGTATACTTTTCGAGAAAGTCCATAAGGGACTGCGGATGATGGATGAAAATGTTGAGAAAATCAACGGGAGATGGTAACATAGATAAGTATGAACTAGTTGAAGTCCCTCGTTTGGCAGAATCTCCATCTTCAGTACAAAGCCTCATGAGTATATCAATTGTCTCCACCGGCTTGTGCTCTATGAGAATTTTTCCATACTCTTTCACTGTGACCCCAGCTTGACTTGGCTCAAGACTTGAGATATATTGCAGGGCTTCATCATAA